TTGTTGTGAAAAAATTTGAATGCTAATGACGATTTTTCAAATAAACAATTTCCTTACCTACTTACAATGCCTGAATACAATTCTGTATACTTCATACCTCAAAAACGGGAGCTCAATTAATGTTTGTGCCTTTCCAGTTTTTTAAAGAATGGAATCCATGGAAACGATCGCTAAATTGAAAGAAGACAGAATCTTGCTTTTTTCCTACAATGGCTACAATATAATATGTAAGTTCCAGCCACCTCATGGGCCCCACAGACTTCCGAATTGTTCGTTCCATGTTTGCGCGACTTGTAAATCGGATGGTATGTCGAATAAGCACGAGAGACTCTACACACCTCGTGTTTGTTCGATCGGAAGGCAAAAAGTCGAACGAACAAGTCGGAAGTCTGGCTCTGGAGAATTCTAACAGGCATTACCTCAGCAAATCTTGCAAAATAGTGGTACAGATTAATCCTGCTTTCTTAGAGGTACATATTGTAGTGCTAGATCCTTTCTAGCAATTACTTCAGAATGTTGTGTTATACCTGGTTTCGTCAATGTTCATCCCCAAACGGCCGCACAGTCAAGTTTGAATCTGGAGGTTTGTCCGATTTGTGATTGCGTCAGGTCAATTGTGACTTAAGGCGCGTATCGGCCTGTTGTGAAATCCGTCTCCACGGTTCCTCCAACTTGTAGGAAGTGAAGGCTAAATGTCCGTCAGTAAAACGAAAGGAAGATGCAATATCCATTTGCTGTTCTTTATATTATCCGCCAGTTTTTTTTGTAAAATTAATGAAAATATCTTTGCGCGTCGTGAGCAATAGTTTCTAAAATTACGCAAACTAAAATTATGCATTACACGACAATTTCGAAGAAAATCTCCTGCTCTTGCTGTGTATATACATGTTTTTCGTTAATAACACATATACAGAGTTATAAGCACACAACTGAAGCAAGCATTAAATGTAGGTTACTCCCTTACAGGGCCGTAACCAGAGGGGGCCAAATCTTCTACAGTTTTATGTGGCGATCCGCCATATTAATTAAGAAAGTGTTTCAGGTTGAAACAGGGATTTAATAGTGTATTTTCTATCATTAAATGAGTTAGGTTTATTGTGTTTCCGTGGTTGCGATTCTCAGGTTGTGGGCGCATAAACAATATACATAATATATTATTATCATTTTATGTATCTTTTTACCACCTGCAATACGTAGTATGTACGTGTATAAGAGAAGTCTTCAAATGCCTCGGGCATCGAACAATCGAGTTTGGTCTTTTTCCTAAGAAAATTGATGCATAATTAAGGATTTAGACTAGTATATCGCTTTTAGGCCATAAAGTGATAGATACCCAAACTAAGGTTTGATAGTATGCACATCTGGAACTGACAAGCTTTCATACAGCGAAAATCTGAAGGCGATACGATGTCTTCTTCCCAAGAAAATCCCTACATAAATAACGATTTTGATACTTTTTTGCCCAAAAAAATGTCACAAAAAATACACATAGACCACTTCTTGAGCATTGAACAATCGAGTTTCCCAAGAAAATGGATGCATAAATACGAACTTTGACATCCTTTGGGTAAAAATATTTAAGTCGCCAAGAAGGAATTTATTCAGCGGGTGGTATCTGCGCCGGAATTATTAATATTTCGCCTGCCCGCTCTTCGTAACTAATCTGGCTAAGGCTTCTGCTCCCTTATTAAAATTTATTGATTGGAATTTCCTTAGATCAGTTTCGAGCATTCGAACGGCTACTCCAAATTAGGTTTTTCTGCAGTTTTTCTAATTCATAAAGTAAATACCGGAGTAATATAGAACAACTTAAGACCTTCTGTGGGAGAACAGAACGAGAAGCATGCGATTGCAATCGTACAAGGCTAGTTTTTAGAGGCATTTTTAAAATATACTCCGCTTATGTGATTCTTTTGTCTGTCCGTCTGTCTCGAGAATGAGAAGAGATAGCGATGTGAAACCTTCACCAATCGATGTCTAGGACTTCAAGGATCAGTGCTATTGAATCTGAGCCGAAAAAGTCGTGTTTCCGAATGCGAGATGAGTTTTAAAAAATGCGATTTTTATTTTGTTTTTTTGTGCACTATAGACTATTCTAGAGACTACACGGTGTCCATTTTTCGAGTACCACTATGGGGCTCTCACTTATCTTAAGAGATAGAAAGTTGGTTAAATGGGGCAAAGTTGCAAATTTCCGTGCTGAATAAGAATATGGAAAGAAATTTAAAAATTATTTTTATCTCTCATTGTATTCTAATTAAAGGTCTCAACGAAAGGAACCGTTTTCTACCAACTACTGCCCTTCTTTCTGTCCTCTTATCAAAGTACGGGGGGAGGGGGGGGGTGGATCTAGTTTTATCCTTCATAGTACTCTAATGAAAGGCCTCAACGACAGGAATTAATTTCTACCAACCATAGCCTTCGTCCTCGACCTCTTATCGCGATCGGGTATATTCCCTTATACCTCAAGAACGGATTGTCGGAAGAGGATACTCACAAAGGGCGATTGAGACGTCTGCAAGAAATATATCCATTGGTGATGTCAAAACAAAAGCTATTTCGGTTAAAAAATGCGCTTTATTTGCACAAGAGTTGTGCACAATTTATACTTGTTTCTGATATTATTTGAACAGATACAAAAAAATAAAAAAACACTTTCTCTGTTCCAGTTTTTAAGCTCTACAAGACACCCGCGCACATCTCTATAATCGTACGAGAATACCTATCGGGCATATTGTCCATTTTCTAGGAAATTTGTCTACCAGTTCCATAATCTTATATTTAAATTTTACTTAATTAGTTTATGTACAGGGTGTCCCATTTATCTTAAGACAAACGATTATTGCAGAAATTAGCGGGGATATCAAAAAATGATTTACCTTAAATATTATTCATACGGAGGGTCGCATTTAATGGCACATTTCCACTGTCCCTTACGCATCAAGTGGCGGGCAACAATTTTTTTCAAATAGAAACCTATACGTTTTATTGTATATTATCAATTCTAGATTCGTAAAATAATAACCTTTCGTGGAAAACGTATTTTCCCTACACGTACCATTTTTTGAAGACACAGGAAGCTGTTCTTTCAATAATTTGTCATATCTTTTTTGAACATTTTGTGCATACATAACGTCATAATTTATAAACGTGAGCTAAGCTCCACAAATTCCAGAAATACCTAAATATTCTAAAGTAGCACTTTTGTTTAAATAAAAGTAGTAGGTACAGGATGCCCAAATTCCTCCGTTATTATTAAAAATATAGCCTTGTGGTTTTAGCGGACCTGTACTGCTCTTTTTTGTAAAACTTAAGATCGCATAATTTTTTGCCTGTCATAGAGGTGGTTAAGAATCCAAGTTTTCGACGTCCCACCTCTTGTGCTTCTCCCGTACCACCCCAAAAAATGAGAAATTGGTTGGTTTCTAAGTTTTTCAATTTTATCCTCGATTTTATCTTTTTAAAGGTTCACTTTAGATAAAAATATTATCGGAAATAATAGACCATAAAATTTTACACAACTTTGATATATATCTACTACTTTTTTGTGAAATTTTTATTTAAAAGATACATAGCTTCAAAGTTACTTATATTGTATACTTGTGCACTGCCTCAGATATTCGACTAAATTTATACTTCATAGAAGAAACACAGGATATTATGATCTGCTGATCATAGGTAGTAAAACGGACTTTTCTGTGTAATTATTTAAATGTTAAAGTACCATAATACCAGTTTGACGTTTGCTCTTTTCAATCACCGCACGATAGAAATAAGTCAATTCCTTTACCCGATTGCCTGTTGTGAATCCTCAAACCACAAACGATTTTGCGGCTTCGATTTTATATGAAAAAGCTTCCCATCGTTATATAATGCGTACTGTTTACTAATTACGAAGAATCAGACATCGCATTCAATTGCAAATTGGTCCTACTAAATCCGAATTTAAAGTCGGAAATAAAATTTAAGTATCTACTACCGGCGCTTTTTTACGCCTTCGATTAAGCAGTGCTTTCGTACCCGATCGGTAACTAAAATCAGGTCGACTATCATTGTGTAATGTCCAGAACCCCCTAAATACACTAGCAAATTTTATTGAACGAGTGAAAAGCAACCCCTCTTGGAATGGTACCGCGGATCATTTTCAAACTTCAAGAGCAGATGAGAGGAGGGTGGATTCGATTAATAAAATAAACATATAACAGTGTCCCAATCCAGCAAAATTAGTCAATTACACTAGATCCCTTTTTAAAGTGAGCATAATTATTAATTTGCCCTTCACCTTCAAATCTGTTGAGGTAGGTTATAAACCTGTGTCAATTAGTAATACGCGAACGTAGGCCGTAAAAGTAATAACCATAATTTTTATTCAATTTTTCGAATAGTTCATACGATTACCTAATGTGTGAGTCAGTATATTGCGGTTGCATATTGATTGTCCTGTTCAGGTACCTACAACAATGATATTTATAACAATTAATGTCACAACTCCATTTCGGAATTAATAACAAATTACGTGATGGAGTAGTTAATAGATTTATAAGATCAGGTTTAGTTTGTGATTCATTTGTCTTAGCTAAACAGGAAATCTCCCAAATAAGGTAAAATACATTAATTAAATAATAAATAAATTTATAACACAGATGACGTAGTTCTTGGTTCTTAAACAGTTCTACTGTACTTTGCGAAAAATAAAAGCTGGATAAATGATGACCTTTTAACACAATATATCGATAAATGTGCCCTACTCCGATGACCTATTAATATACCAAGAATTAGAAACGTTAATGACGACTTCGAGAATTTAAGAAAAATGTATCCTTTGACATAATTCTTTGAATCCTGTTGAAAGCCTTTTTCGCAAAATGTGAGTATTGTGGTTTTCATGAAGGACACTGTCAAACTTGTTTAGCACAGATCCTATTAGCTGCAATACGTAGAGGGGGTTCTATGAATGATATGATAATTTAAGAGTATAAATAAATGATCTCTAACTGAAGGAACTTAGTACTTGGCAAAATTATTTTGTTTTAACATCTATCTGCGTAATTTATCTTTAGTATTGTTATGATTTAATACAAGTGAATTAGTTACGTTTATAAGTTTTTTAAAATTTCCTGTGACTAATTTACACCTGCCCCTTTCACATTGCGGTAACACAGAAGGTATGTGTATTTTTTTTTCATTTTTTTTATTACATTAAAATTTAAATAATCGATTTTTATTAACATTAGGGTATCGCAAATATTTCGTATGCGCCATCCCCAACTTGCCTATTAAGATTTCAGATGGCAATTGTTTTATTTTATTGTACAATTTCTTGGGATGCCACCAAAAAGCAAGTTAGACTGATCCAAAAAAAACGCCGTCTGAGCTTCTAACGAGTTGTTTTAAAACCGAGGTCCCTGAAAATTGTTGACATATAAAGCTCAATTTATCTGTTTATCAAAAAGGTGCCATTCCCGTTCTAAATAGGTACCTGATCATTTATATGCATCTCATTCGAGATCCAATTAATTAACTTAATTAATTTTATCAATTGCGTGTATTATGGAGCGACAGGTAATTACTTGGTCGGTGTATAGCAGGGTGTATAGAGGAACAAAACACGCATTTTTTTCCCAAAAACCCAACTTCGCAAATGGTTCCTGAATGTGCATACGATTTGATTATTGGACATAATACATAAACCACTTTGACATTTTTTTTTAATGAAAATTCGGATGTTAGTTTGGTGACAGTTTTGAACTTGATCAAAGAAAAAATGAAAAGAGTGAAAAAAAGCCTTGAAAATTAAAAACTATGTTTACCTTCTTGGCAGATAATTAATGGGGAGGGGGCTCTTTACACATAAACATTTAAAGGCCGCCTGGCATACGTATTCAAAATCTACGCTATAGAATTCAAGAAGAATCAAGCCATTCGAGAAGTTCTCTGAAATATTGCATTTTTATAGGTATCGTCCTTTCGAGATATTCACAAGTAAATTTTCACTTCGTTAGTAGATGCGTCTCGTCTAGATGATCTTTCCGCCCTTTGAGAGTACATTCCTCCGACACACATATTTGCACTGAACGTTTTGACATCACCAGTAGATATATCTCGTTCAGACGTTCCACTTGCCCTTTATGAGTACTCTCTCCTGACACTTCGTTTTCAACATATTTGCTTCGACTTCACTAATAGATATATCTAGTCCAGACCATTCATTATGCCTTTGTGAGTACTTTCCTGCGACAAACCGTTTTCGAAATATTATTCGCTCTTAACATTTGAACATCGCCAATTATTTTTTCCTCCTCCGCATGTAAAAAAAATAGGGTGATATCAAGACAAGCACCTCTTCCAAATAAACCGAGGGTCCGTGGTGTTTCGTTTGGGAGCCACCCCCAAAGAAGTGGTGAAATTTGGATTTCTTCTCTCATTTTTTTTCTCAGCAACCATAAGAGTTACAAAGATGGGAGACACGTCTTTGCATAGTTTTCGATTTTGAAAAAAACTTTCCAAAATTTCCTACCACGGAAAGCGCCCCCCTACTTGGGGGTGGGAAAAAAATTCTGATTTCGACGAAATTTGGTATTTGGGGGTTTTTGAACATGAACATGATGAATCTGTAATTCTTGGCCGGAGAATTCCCCGAAATTTGTTGTGTAATGTGTACATACTTGATGAGTTAAGGAACAAACTTGTCGAACAATTTTTTTAAATAACTTTTCAAACAAAAGATACTTATTTGAAGATTGGGCCTTCGGGTTACAAAGTGTCCCCCGCCTACTAGTGAGTGATCTAATTTCGCATGTAGTGAATTGAAAATGTCGCAAATAACAAAAAAATAACGATTTAAGTCGATATTACGATACTTGCAATCTTTTTTTTTATGGAAATTACTATTTTCGTGAGGTATGATTAAAGAATGAACTTTTTTTACAATGACTACATAAAAAAACATGTTCACACTAGTAAAATTATGAGATCAAATAACAAACTATTTTCCTTCATTTGAGTTTTTCTCTTAAATTTCATTATGCAATATAATATGTTTTTTATGCTCCTATATCAAAAAAGAAATGTACTCTTTAAGAATATGTAATGAAAATTAGTAGTTGCCATTAAAAAAAATATGCCTCCCTTGACCATGTACAAGTACGCCACTGACCACAAATTTAAAGTAGGTATGTAGATTCGTAGCAAACTTTTTATAATTTTGGATTCTATAGCTTCTTTAAAAAAATGTTGTTTTGAAGATATATCCAATGTTCCAGACAAAATTTTCACCCTCTATTAAGATGCTAGCCGTCGTCTTCGTTCGTTTAATTGTTGTAGGTGCAACGCGGGCGACCCGGGTTCGATTCCCGGTCGATGCAGAATTATTTTATATATTATTTAGCATTCCTACATTTCGCTAGACTACTGTTGAACGTCGACGGAGGATTTCACACATGACCGTGGGGGCTGGTATTTCTAGTAAAATAAATAGGGTATTCAAGTGATTTTGCAATTGTACAATTTTCAGCTTTGCACACTGTATTTTTAAGACAAAATTCCACGTACGCATTTACAAAAATGTGCTATAATGGAATGTCGATATTTTGAGAATGCAAAGCTGTCAATTGTTTTTCTGTTTTCACTATTGTGATCAGCATAAAAAACAGTAGTTCTCTAATTAACCGACCTTGTATCTCTTATTATTACCGAGTTAGCAATAGTGAAGGCCCTGTATACATTTAAAAATAACCTTTACTTATCTCTGGGCAGACTATGTGCTAGAAAAATCTTAAATAATTGTAGCAATTGTGGCACTCTTTCATGGTCCCGAACAAGACGTTTTTGATTCAAAGTTTATTTGATAAAAAAACGAATCTCATCCAGTTCTACCATACTTACCTGTTATCGATTACATAACCCTGGTCTCCATGTCTAAGAAGAGATGTTCATTTTGGGGGTAAAATAGGTTCTTGACCCAAAAAGGAACCAAAAAATTGGAGACGAACAAGTGATCGGTTAAAAATATAGGCTTCCTCTAAAAAACCAATATTTCTGCACTAATTCAGTTTTGCTTACGCACAACCACAACAAAAGTTTTGCAAATAAACCAAACGTAAACCAGGTGTCAAATTCTTGACAGAATAGCTTCCTAGCTGAAACCAAAAATTGCCAACATATGTTTTTTTACGCATGCATTTTGTTTGCTTTTATTAGAGGGACCTACCATGCAAATTTCGTTAAAATTGCTCCATAAATAAGAAAGTTGGATGTTGCACATGCGCAACACTATTTTTTGCGCATGCATTTTGTTAGCTTTTATTAAAAGGACCTACCATCTAAATTTCGTTAAAATTGTTCCATAAATAAGACAGTTGGATTTCTGTGCATGCGCAACACGATTTTTGCGCATGCATTTTGTTTGCTTTTATTAGAGGGACCTACCATCCAATTTTCGTTAAAATTGCTCCATAAATAAGAAAGTTGGATGTTGCACATGCGCAACTCATTTTTTGCGCATGCATTTTGTTAGCTTTTATTAAAAGGACCTACCATCTAAATTTCGTTAAAATTGTTCCATAAATAAGAAAGTTGCATTTCTGCGCATGCGCAACACGATTTTTGCGCATGAATTTTGTTTGCTTTTATTAGGAGGACCCACCATCCAAATTTCGTTATAGTTGTTCCATAAATAAGAAAATTGCATTTCTGCGCATGCGCAACACGATTTTTGCGCATGCATTTTGTTTGCTTTTATTAGAGGGACCTACCATCCAATTTTCGTTAAAATTGCTCCATAAATAAGAAAGTTGGATGTTGCACATGCGCAACTCGATTTTTTGCGCATGCATTTTGTTTTCTTTTATTAGGAGGACCTACCATCCAAATTTCGTTTTAATTGTTCCATAAATAAGAAAATTGCATTTCTGCGCATGCGCAACACGATTTTTGCGCATGAATTTTGTTTGCTTTTATTAAAGGGACTTACCATAGAAATTTCGTTTAAATTGCTTCAGAAACAAGATCGTTGCGTTTTGCACATATGCAACACAATTTTTTGACTTTGACAATTTTTTTCTCCGTTTTTTGATAATATAACCCGGCCCAATTTTTTTAGGTTGTACACAGGAAAATAAGGTCTTCCAAATAATAGAATAAAAATTTTAGGTTGCTATTTGAAAAAAAAAGTTCGATGCCGTTACGGCGCTCCAAAATTTTTTTTTCAAAAATCCGGCCCGTTATTTTTCTGTTCGGTATGCCTAAAACATATATACAAAATTTCAACAAAATCCGTCGAGCCGTTTTCTCAGAAAATTGCCAACAAACGTACGTACGTACATACGTACACGTACAGACGAAAAAAATTTTATTCTTTAAAAGTTGCTTAAAATGGTCTAAAACGTCGACATTTGATGAAATTTTGAAATGTTCAAAAAACGGCTATCGCAATAGCTACCTAGCACATGCTAGGAAGCTAAAAATGATTTTTTTAAGATCTACTCTCCAAAACATCACCTTATTAACGAGCACTAACTGATTAAATTTTGGTCAATTGAACTTCTGTCCGTCTGTCTGTCTTTGTACCTCGTTGCCTATATTGGTTTGAATCAGGTTGTTTAATTTTTTCTTATCGACCAACTTTTTTTTGACATGGTAAGTCCTGTATACAAACAAATTATAGTCGGCAATCGCGACTACGTTGCTTCAAATGTCCATATAAATTTATTATAGTTGAAAAGTTATATAGACGTCTAAGGAAAATGATTAAATTCAGACAAATTATCTCTTTTGGATTGCTTTTTGAAATGCAATAAATTTGTTTTAAATTAGTGCTGATTTGCACGTCCAACCACAGTTATCTTCTATTGCCCACAATCCCTTGTATAAAACCGCTTCAACCCTTTCAAAATAATACTGCAATTGCCATAAATGATTTAAAACTATGATCGATATAAGAAGTTTCGTTGAAATTGAGGTATTGTAGGTCAGAAAAATGGCCTCGTTAGTAATTGCCTTACACATTTCTGATGTAATTAATCAATTTATTGATAGGAATTTTTTATGGCACAGTGGGATTAAAAGCGATTACATTGAGCAATGTGGGAACGACGTTTCTTCCTCAAAGATAAGAAAATTGCCAAAAAACAAACGTCAATTCCCTACTCTACTCACTTTAATGTAGCATGAATTTACAATAAATGAAAATGAAGATATCTTATTTTCCTTAAACGCACATTAATGTTGATTGGGAAACACAAAGCAAAGCAATTTCCAGAGAAAATGAGATATTATCGGTAACTGTACATTGCATTTAAAACGTCAACAAAGGTCAGCAAGATAATATACTTTATATCAATTTATTGAAATGAAAAACGAACAACAGCAATAAAAATAGTTGCAGACATCATACAATTTACAGATAATTTTTTACAAAATGATAAAAAGTTGAACTGTGCTCATTTATTGATAAAGAGGTTCTTCGCCGAATTATCTATTTCAATTACGATTTTTGTTGCAGATGAGGGGCGCAATAGTACTTTGGGCGCTATGCATAGCAAGCTATGCCGAGCCGGACGGATATTTCAAGCAACATTACGAATACAAGAGTTCTTCATCGGCATATAAGAACAACGAACTGCAACACAAAAAGGACGATGAAGGATACTACTCCCGCCATGGAGATTTAGAGGGAAGGGCCGAACCTAAAGTGAACTCGTACAGTCAACATAGCGAATATGTCAACCCCAAATTACAGCACGGTCAAGGACAGAACCAGGCCTTGCAAAACAATGATTTCTATCTCCAACAAACTCATGGGGCCGGCCAAGGGGGGTACAGTACAAATTGTGGTTCAGGATCAGGATGTAATCACAACGCAGGTACTGGTTATAGTACTGGTACTGCAGATTACAGCTCGGGCTCTGGCTATAGTAGCGGATCCAGTTATAATAGCGGCAGTAGCTTCCAACATCAGGCCGGATCTACAAGTGCTATGAGTAACGATCAAGTTAGAGCGTTGAAAGAATTGCAAGATGCCTTAGCAAGACAACTACAACAAGCTCTGTATGACCACCAGAAGCATGCTTCATCTAGTCATTCGCAGGTTACTAGCGCAAATACCGGTACTTATGGATCCAACACTAACTATCAATATTTAGAAGACCAATTAAGAAATAACGTTACACAACAATTTAATGATGCAATACGGCAACAATACCAAGGTCAAATCAGTAACGACAGATACAATCAATACCACCAACAATTGCAAACTGATTTGCTTCGTCAGCTACAAAGTGGTTCACCGACGTATAACTCACAAAGTTCGCAATCATCATATAACACCCAGCATAGCACATCTTACGGACGCCCTGTAACTGGAGACTCTCACACGGTACATCTTACCCCAGGATCACAAAACACTAACTCCTTTGATTCGACAAGGTATGGTACCAATACCCAAACATACAGAATACCACATCCCATACCTCTTACGGACGTTACGACTCGATTAGAAGTCGACCTTCAAAATATTATCAACAAAGCAGTACACAACAAAATAAGTACGTACACAAAGACGTACGGCTATCACTCTCAGCCAGATTACAACACCGAACTGCAACGTTTAACAGAGGAATTGCGAGCAAATATCACAAAACAACTAGACAGTGAACTTGTCCGCACCTACGGACGACAGGAACAGAGGGGTTCACACTTTTATACTCTCACCACTACTGGACCAAATTCTACTCCAAATTATAGAGTGGATGAATTAGATCGCGTTCGTCAAGACTTGTACAATAAATTATCGAGAGAATTGCAAATCCAATTCCAACAGCAATATTCCCAATACACACAAACTGTTAATCAATATGCTGCAAACGCAAATCGGCACTCGTCAACAGAAAACAGTGGCCAAAGTACGAACTATTACGGATCGTCCCATTACCCTTCGGCAAACCCCACCGTTAGCACTTACCCACAACAAGTACACCAATATCAACCTCAACCCACTACCTTCGTGGTCACAGGCAACGCGCCAGCTGAATTAAGGCGAGCGACTGAAACAATCCACTTCGATGTCTTCCGCAATCTGCAAGATGCACTGCTTGAACAACAAAGAAGATACCTCAAACACCACAATACTCAATCAACGCATGTTACTTACAACCCTCAAGAATACCAATCTACTCTACAACAATTAACCAACGAATTGAGACACAACATTACTAAACAAATTGAGAAACAGTTATCGATACAATACGGACACCAAATGCAGCAAGGTTCAAACTATTACTCTGTTCTAAGTGGAGGTGGTTACAGCGCTGCTCCAAATTACAATTCGCAACAACTGAATGATATTACACAACAACTTCAAAATGATCTGGTCAAACAGTTACAGACTGGTTTGTCGAAACAATTCAGCTCATACAGTAGCTATAGTTCCAGTTCGTCTTACAGCGGACAATCCGGCTACTCTACAAATTCACAAGGTGGTATAAAAACGCGCGGTAACTACGGCGGATACATGTCGGATGGTGAAATGATGCAGGGCGACGACAATTTTTATAGAAGTCCTAATAGATACTCTTCACATTATACCAATCATTATAATGCACATGATCAAGATCTCACGCAACAACAGGAATACGGCCAATCTCGTTACGGTTCCTCGTACTACACGAATCGGCAAAAACCCGATAACTTCCCACAAAAACCTTACAGCGGCAAATTATCTAATTATGACTCGTCGCAACAAACAGAAGAAGAATTTGGACAGCTGCAAATTGGGAATCGGCAAATATCGCGTGGGCAAACCCCCTTACAAACAGCTCATAGACCATACGATCAAGAATTAACACAACAGCAACAGTATTTTTCACATCAAAAACCGCAGGGTCGCACGTTCATTCACCAGACACAAGATGTAATTGGACAGAAACAAACAAATGCTTACGATCAAGATATGACTCAACAGGCTGAAGACGAATTTAGTCAGTTACAAATTGGAAGAAATCAAAAACCTTACAACAAAAACATATACGACCAAGATATGACGCAACAAACCGAAGACGGATTTGGCCAATTGCAAATAGGACAACACAAAGTACCGGAGCAGTCTCAGTATAACAAAAAAGACGACCTAGATCAACAAAGCGAAGAAGAATTTGGACAATTACAAGTAGGGCAACACAAAGTAGTAGAACAGTCGCAGTACAACAAAAAAGACGACCAAAATCAACAAAGCGAAGAAGAATTTGGACAATTTCAAGTAGGACAGCAAAAAACAGTTCACGATCAACAAAGTGAGGAAGAGTTTGGGCAGTTACAAGTAGGACAAGAGAAGGCACACGAAAAGCCATACAGAAGCCAGCCGGATATGTTCCAACAAACTGAAGATGTAACTGGGCAACTCCAAATCGGTCAACACAAAGTGGTTGATTTAGAAAAACAGACGCTCAAGCATGATCACGATATGAGTCAACAAACTGAAGACAATTTGAGTCAATTACAAATTGGAGCGCCTGATAAAATAATTGATTCGACTCAACAACACCACCAATCGTACAACCAACAAATAAACGGGAAGGACATGTACCAACAAACTCAAAACCAATACGCACAAAGTGAAGATGAAATTGGACAAGTGCAAGTAGGCCAACACATGGTACCACAGCAAAATCAGAAACCGTACTACCATATGCCTGGACACAGTATGTCGCAACAACCTCAAGAAGAATATGGCCAAGTGCAAGTAGGGCAGGCTCTTGATGCGTACAATCAAAGAACTACGGATCAACAAACCGTAGGACAACAAACAATGGTCATGGCACAGCAAAAACAAAACTATGGACAAGTCGCAGAGGAGCTAGGTCAACAAAAGCAAGAATCGTTCAATCAACAAACGGAAGACGAATTTGGACAGTTGCAAATAGGTCAGCAACGCCAAAAACCGCACAATCAGAAAATATACGACCAAGATATGACCCAACAAACCGAAGAAGAATTTGGACAGTTACAAGTAGGCCAGCAAAATCGAAAACCGCACAAACCGAATGTGTACGAGCAGGATATGACTCAACAAACTGAAGAGGAATTTGGACGACTACAAATTGGTCAACAAAGTCAAAAAACGTACGGACACGATATGACCCAACAAACCGAAGATGAATTTGGGCAGTTACAAATTGGCCAACAAAGCCAAAAGCAATACGGCCACGATATGACGCAACAAACCGAAGATGAGTTTGGACAATTACAAATTGGCCAACAAAGCCAGAAAATACACGACCAAAAAATGTTTGGTCAAGATATGACGCAGCAAACCGAAGACGAATTTGGACAATTGCAGGTTGGTCAGCAACACCAGAAAAAGCACGATATAACCCAACAAACTGAGGAAGAATTTGGGCAATTGCACGTAGGCCAACAGAACCAAAAACCATACAATCCAAACATGTATGGTCACGATATGGTACAACAAACCGAAGATGAATTTGGACAATTACAAATTGGTCAACAAAACAAGAAAAAGTCTCGTGAAGATATGACGCAGCAAACCGAAGATGAATTTGGACAATTGCAGATTGGTCAACAAAACCAGAAATCATACAATCAGAAACAGTACGATATGACCCAGCAAAGTGAAGATGAATTTGGACAATTGCAAATAGGTCAACAGAACCAAAAACCATACAATCAGAAAGTGTATGGCCACGACATGACGCAACAAACTGAGGATGAGTTTGGACAATTACAAATAGGTCAACAAAGTCAAAAATCGTACAACCGCGATATTACGCAGCAAACGGAAGACGAATTTGGACAGTTACAAATAGGACAACAAAAATGGCAAAATCAGAGACCGTACAACCGAGGTGGGGACATGACTCCCCACACTGAAGATGTTTTTGGACAAACACAACTAGGCCAACTGCAGGTGGGGCGAAAGAAAAACTCTGACTCGACTCAACAAGTAGAAGAAGAATTCGATCAGATGCACCTTGGAGGAAAATATGCTGGATCACATCAAACTCAAGATCAACGACAAATAAATAAAGTAAATGATCGCCTAATTCAAATGTTAAGTGAAAAGGTAAACAAACCACACGAACACGTTGAAAACTCTCGCAACGATTTCGCACAGCAGTCAAAGTACATTCCTGTAAGGGGACAGACCACGGAAGTTGAATATCCTCTTGAACCCTCTGGTCACAGGCGAAACACCTATCGCAGTTCATCGTATACCAGCGGCAGTAGCCATAGTTCATCTTCATCGAGTAGGTCCTCCTCCAGTTCGAGTTATAATCGCCATTACTCGTCGAACAGCCATCCCTATCATACGTCATACGATGTGTAAATATCAAATTGATATAACAATTCGTATGAAAAGCAATCATTTGTCACCTGTCTTAGATCATTAATTTACATACCTTCTTTTGTATATTTATATAAATTTTAATAAATAAATTATTAATCGTATACTTTAAATGAATATTTCCCCCATACCTAATTTTAACTGCTTATTCAATAAAGATTTAAAAATCAGGCTATTAAAAAAGAGATTTTGGCGTTGTAATAAAGAGCTTAGAGCATCTAAAAAAGCGGCAGAGCACCTCGGTGAGAGAGCCTACGGGGTGATTGGATTTGACTCATTTTTAATAGACTTGTTACATGTGGCATATCAGTCTACTGTGCAAAGTTTCAACCGACTAGGTTATAGCGTTTGGCAGGGACAGAGAAGCGTGACCCCACGGAGTTATGACCCATTTTTAATAGGCTTACTACATGTGGTATATAGGTCAACTGCCCAAAGTTTGAACTGAATAGGTTCAAGCGTTTGGTAGACACAGAAAGGCGTGACCCCAAGGGGTCATTGCATTTGACCCATTTTCAATAGGCTTATTACTTGTGACATATAGGTCAAATGTGAAAAGTTTGAACCAACTCGGTCCAAGCGTTTGACAGTTATCGTGTTCACGGACGGACAGACGGACACCATCGACTCCCCTATAAAGGTACCTTTACACTATAATATATCTCACATGATTTTTTTATATGATATGTTATATGATATTTACTACCGACATACAGGGTGATTCCTATAGTACCTGCCACCGTTTGGGAGCGTGTAGGTGGTGCGTAGGGGAGTATTTTGATATAGGACACTTGGGGTCGGAAATCTAAAATAAGGGTGCCAGAGCCAAATTTACCTTCTGGAATTTCGCGCCTGTAGGTAGGCAACCCAACCGGCCGGCGGTGCACACGGAGCGATCTCAGGCGGCGATGTGTGGCTGACACTTGATCAGAATTTTGTTTAAACCCACGAAATCCCGTCTGCAACGACGCGTATCAAGTGAATAAACACTATGGCAATAGTATAATAATAGTTGGCTAGATGTAGGAAGTGCATTGAGAACAACGGTGGCCACGTTGAACACTTGTAAACGTTATTGCTTTTGACTGTCGTTTTCCCTCCTTCCCTCCCATGTCGCTTCCTCGCGCTAACTCGCTCCGCGCGAAACGTCGGTCGGTTGGGTTGCCTACATACAGGCGTGAAATTCCAGAAGATAAATTTGGTTCTGGCGCCCTTATTTTAGATTTCCGACCCCAAGTGTCCTATATCAAAATACTCCCCTAGGCACCCCCTATACGCTCCCAAACGGTGGCAGGTACTATAGGAATCACCCTGTATTTTTCGTATGAGTTTTAACATTGAATAAAAACACTTTTTATTCAATGGTTTTAATGTTTTACTTTACACTTGACAGGTTTTTATATGACTTTAATACAAGAAGTTACGAAACCTATATAACTTCTCTAAATTAAAATGTTCCAAGTTCCAAGATTCATACTAGTTCAAAAGTTACAGCCCTTTGAATTTTCTTTCGAAATTGGTTTCTAGTCTATAACTTTTGATTGAGAAGTCTGATCGAAAAAGTACGAATTGTTTTGGATACTACGCACCAAAATTAATAAGAAAAAGTGTTTTCCCGAGAAATTTTGGTGCAGTCGATTTTTGGAAAAAAGGAAGGTTGTACACTGCCTTTTTTTTGCCCCGAAAAAAAAATTGTCTCAGATCGACCCGGAAAAAAAATTTCTTATAGAACGTGGCATGTAGAATCCATAATTTCAAACAGTTCCAAGATTGGACTACTAGTTCAAAAGTTACAGCTAGGGAATGCAATCCCGCAACAAAATCTCAATCCCGGTATTTGCGGGATCGTTAGATGTTAATCCCGCGGGAACCCGGTATTTGCGGGATCCCGCAAAATTTTAAATAAATTGACAAATAAGCAATTTTGTGCGGTTAACTTCTGTATTAAAATAAATCGCTAATTATCACAATAAGTATTCAACAAAAAAAGTACCTTCAGGCTAACTTAGAACTCAAAAAAATCACCTGTAAAGCACAAATAGGTGCACTTCTAAAGTGCCTCAAAAATCATAGTACATTTTTAACGAAAAAAGTTTAACAATTATTTTAAAAATAATTTCTCCGTTATGCGTTTCATTAACAAAGCAAACAGAGTCGTCCCCTTGGTCGACATTAAGGATGAGCGGGATCACTTGGATATTTAAAATAAACCGATACAACGAAATATCGAAGGATCCTCAGTATCACAATAACTTTTAACGATAATTTATTTTAATGTTACAAAATACATCAAATTCATGTCTTGGCCATTGAGATAATGCTCTTAATCTTGTTTTGATCAAAATCCATGTGGTCGCCAAAAATAGATCAAATTCATGTTTTGATCATTGAGATAATGCTCTTGGTCTTTTTCCCCAACGTTCTTGGTGCATAAATAACGATTTTGACATGTTTTGATCAAAATTCATGTGGTCGCCAAAAATAGATCAAATTCATGTTTTGGTCATTGAGATGATGCTCTTAGTCTTTTTCCCAACGATCTTGGTGCATAAATAACGATTTTGACATGTTTTGATCAAAATCCATGTGGTCGCCAGAAATGCATCAAATTTATGTCTTGAGCATTGAGATAATGCCCCTAGTCTTTTTACGATTTTGATTATTTTGATCAAAACCCATATGGCAATAATTTAACATTTTTGAATCACACACATGCGGTTATCAAATGTGCACGTGATGTACTCTTGCTGCATCAAGATAATGCGTTTGAAACCTTTTAAAACTCTAAATTCATGTATAAAGTGTAATTTTTGCTACATTTTGCTCTAAAACTTTCGACCTATACCACAGAGAAGAGTTATATTAAAGTATTACACATCTAAGAGTCATAGGGAATAATCTAGCGGAAGTCCCAACCCGATACATGACCTAGGGAATGAAATATGTTGATTTCTATTATATTGAGCCCGTAGTTTTTCCTGTTCCCGATTCACTCGAAGTCCTATAACTTTTGTTCCTATTGAACCAGCTTCCTGAAAATCAATAGCGTCCGTCCTTAATGTCCAAAGAACCCGTACACCAAATTTCAACTCAATCGGCCACTTTTAAAAAGAGTTAGAGCGCACACGGACGGACGGACGGACGGACGGACGGACGACAATACAAAACTATAAAGGATCTGAGGATCCTTAATAACGATTTCGACATGTTTTGATCAAAATCCATGTGGTCCCTAAAAATGCATAATATTCATGCCTTGGGCATTAAGATAATGGCTCTTGGTCATTTTTCCAACCATCTTGGTGAATAAATAACGATTTTGACATGTTTTGATCAAATGCCACATGGTGGACAAAAATGATCAAATTCATGTTTTGATCATTGAGATAATGCTCTTGGTCTTTTTTCCAACGATCTAGGTGCATAAATAACGATTTTGACATATTTTGATCAAATGCCACATGGTCGACAAAAATTGATCAAATTCATGATCATTGAGATAATGCTGTTGGTCTTTTTTCCAACGATCTAGGTGCATAAATAACGATTTTGACATATTTTGATCAAAATCTATGTGGTCGCCAGAAATAGATCAATTTCATGTTTTGGTCATTGAGATAATGCTCTTGGTCTTTTTCTCAACGATCTTGGTGCATAAATAACGATTTTGACATGTTTTGATCAAAATCCATGTGGTCGATAAAAATAGATCAAATTCATGTTTAGGTCATTGAGATAATGCTCTTGATCTTTTTCCCAACGATCTTGGTGCATAAATAACGATTTTGACATGTTTTGATCAAAATCCATGTGGTGACCAGAAATGCATCAAATTTGTGTCTTGAGCATTGAGATAATGCCTCAAGTCTTTTTCTCAACGATCTTGGTCCATAAATAACGATTTTGACATGTTTTGATCAAAATCCACGTGGTCGCCAAAAATGGATCAAATTCATATCTTGGGTATTGAGATAAAGCCCCTAGTCTTTTTCCCAATGATCTTGGTGCATAAATAACGATTTTGACATATTTTGATCAAAAAACCATGTGGCCTCAGAAAAATAATTTAACATTTTTTAATCACACACATGCGGTTATCAAATGTGCACGTGATATACTCTTTCAGCATCAAGATAATGCGTTTGAAAACCTTTAAAACTCCAAATTCATGTGTAAAAAATAATCTTGAGTACATTTTGCTCTAAAACTTTTGACCTAGACCACAGAGACGAGTTATATTGAATTGTTACACATCTAAGAGTCATAGGGAATAATCTAGCGAAAGTCCGAACTCGATACATGAGCTAGGGAATGAAATATTTTGATTTCTATTATATTGAGTCTGCAGTTTTTCCTGTTCCCGATTCACTTGAAGCCCTCTAACTTTTGTTCCTGTTGAACCAGCTTCCCGAAAATCAATAGCGACCATCCTTAATGTCCAAAGTACCCGTATACCAAATTTCAACACAATCGGCCACTTTTAAAAAGAGTTAGAGCGCACACGGACGGACGGACGGACGGACGGACGGACGACAATACAAAACTATAAAGGATCTGAGGATCCTTAATAAATCATGTCATTTGTCATGCAGAAATAGAAACATCCCTATTCCACTATTTACGTATTATTTCCATATTATTTCCTTATGATTTGTCTTATGACAGCCATAATACCAAAAATAGTATACTTAGTGTAAACACAAATCTAAATGCTTGTTACTTACCATATGACAAATCACATGAGAAGTATGATAGTGTAAAAGTACCTTAAAGCTTGCATCGCTTTGCCCTGCCGCTTAATAAAGCACACTTAGAGTTTTACTAAACTCCTCGTCTCTTCAGAGAAAGGTATTGCCTGAGGAACTTTAAATCATTTGAACAATACCATTTTTGGGCAATCAATGTGAGAAGTTACAATCTAATTAAAAGTACTCATTACATTCTGTATACAGAGTGCTTCAAAGTTCAGTTCAGTTTTTGTCTCATATTTTTCGTCGTTAAGATTACTCAGATATTACAATGCGTTGACTAAGTAGTGATATTGGACGATCTACTAAAAGCGCAGCAATTATGGAAACTAATTTGATGTAGACTATTTCAGGAAGGATGTGGTCTATCATAACACTTACTTTATTCCATTATTTATAACACATTAATAAAGACAGTATTAAGAGCAAAAAGTATTTATTCTCCTCTATATAGCACTATGTTGTTTTCAGTTTCAAATACCTTCACTTCATATAACAGACTCGGGTCATCCATGTACTTCTTCATATTCTGCCATATATAAATTGCAACATGTTCTGCGGTACTAGGATGATCATGAAAGTATGGAACATCGATATCTAGATTTTTATGATCCATTGTATCCATAATTGCGGATTTCATGTACTCCTTTAAACATGTGACGTTCATCAACATGCCCGTTTTTGGGTTTACTTCTCCATGTAGAGTTACTTCAACTAATGAATTTATAAAATTGAGTATCTAGTTCTCAATTGATTTGTGATGATTACGTACCCACATAGTTGTGTCCGTGGCCGTTAGGGTGATTACATTTACCGAAAACAGCACGATTTTCTTCATTGGATAGCTTAGGACTATAAGCAGTTAGTGATTAAGTGTTACATTCCATGATGGATATACCTGTGCAGGCGATGGCAAGCTGCTAATACTTCTCTGCGAGTTAAATATGCTTTATGCGCCATTTTCAGACAAACTGGTCGGCACCGAACTCTATATTTAAATGCGGGTTTTGAAGGACCAAGCATTTTTGATTTACAACCAATGACGTCATATCGTAACCACAACCGCTCGCGAGGTTCCCTCTCTTTCTACAAATACTTTTATCTTTTTTATGCATTCGTTTGTGGAAGTGATTAACCATGTGTTAACTTTTTACAAAAAAGAAAAGAAACCGATTTTCATCTAATATTGACTAAACACATCCATTCGTAATTAACGCAATTTAATTAGAATACCTAGGGAAAAAACCTCACTCCATTAAAATGGGTGTGCATGTGAACTGTTTGTTTAAAACCCAATTACCAGGCTTAGCAACAAATGCCACATGGTGTTGCATTAAACTGGCAAGTAAAAGTTAAATTCCGAGAAACACCCTCAATTGCCAAATACCTCGAAAAAATTTCAAGAATGCTTTTGAATCGAATGTTCACACTGATGTTACTATTCTTTTCTTGTCTAAGGATGTTACCATTGATGTGTTTAAAACATCATACGGCTAGATATTTCAAATTAAAAAAAAATCATAGAAACAACTAGCGCAAGGCTGTTGATATCGTGCAAATTCAATGATATTGGTATACCAAAATCAAGAAGATTGTGTAATCGTTTGTATTTTAATTAAATTAGTAACCGGCGTTTTTCCTGCATGGAAACGGCCAAAAATTCGAAGTGACCATCACGATCATCACTGTTTTACCTCGTATATGAGCTGTCCAAGGTTTTCCACTATATCAAATAACGTTAATTAATATAGTTATTAACTAATGCAATTACACGGTTTATCCTCTTAGTTTTGTCATGTGTCATTTTCAATGCCGTTCTGGTAGTTCAATCCCTAAAGTAAGTACTTTCCAAATCTGCAATAAAATGTGTTCCATTTAACAAAAAACCCACGTTTAATACACCACTGGAACACAGCCCACCACAGCCACGGGTAATTAAAACTATTTTAGAAACATGGTGACGGTAATTGTGTACAATTTGACTCCAACATCTTTTTCGGTATCTTTTATATTAAAGAAATTATGATCCGAAGAGTGTTACATGTTACACTCTGTATATTTCGAAAGCTATGTGACAGAATGAGGTACTCAAAGAGAGATTGTGATAGGTCTACCTGGCGATAGGGTCAAAACTTTAATCGCTTATATCTTGGGGACAGGGATAGTCGGGTTTGTAATGGAAACAGGCTATCAACTCTATTTGACGGTGGGATCCAAAGTTTAATCGCTTATATATCGAAAATGGAGTGTCGGAACTGTGTACTCAGAAAAGGATTACGACAGGTCTATAGTTTAGTCAACACGCACTTTTTAATAAAAAAAAACTTTGACTTTGGTCCCTCGATTATCTCAAGTATAGCACATAAATCGGCACATATAATTAATATACAGGGTGATTCCTATAGTACCTGCCACCGTTTGGGAGCGTATAGGGGGTGCCTAGGGGAGTATTTTGATATAGGATACTTGGGGTCGGAAATCTAAAATAAGGGCGCCAGAACCAAATTTATCTTCTGGAATTTCACGCCTGTATGTAGGCAACCCAACCGACCGACGTTTCGCGCGGAGCGATGCAGAGCGAGTTAGCGCGAGGAAGCGACATGGGAGGGAAGGAGGGAAAACCACAGTCAAAAGCAATAACGTTTACAAGTGTTCAACGTGGCCACCGTTGTTCTCAATGCACTTCCTACATCTAGCCAACTATTATTATACTATTGCCATAGTGTTTATTCACTTGATACGCGTCGTTGCAGACGGGATTTCGTGGGTTTAAACAAAATTCTGATCAAGTGTCAGCCACACATCGCCGCCTGAGATCGCTCCGTGTGCACCGCCGGCCGGTTGGGTTGCCTACCTACAGGCGCGAAATTCCAGAAGGTAAATTTGGCTCTGGCACCCTTATTTTAGATTTCCGACCCCAAGTGTCCTATATCAAAATACTCCCCTACGCACCACCTACACGCTCCCAAACGGTGGCAGGTACTATAGGAATCACCCTGTATACCATATCTCCGGTGAGCTTTAAGCTTCTTTTCAAAATGGGAAAGTCCCTAAAAATGAAATGTAATTGAACTAAATCAGGGAAGAACTGACATACTAGTATTTTTTCTACAGTTAAGAGGTATCTGAGGAAGGACATTACTTTTGACCACGACCTACACTTGAAAATGGGTCAATAGTGCATTGCTGAAAATAACGCTACATCTTCCTAAATTTTTAAAGAAATCAAGATGATTAAAAAACATTTTCCGAGAAATCCTAAAATGAAATAATAATGGTTTTTTTAGAGGGACACAAGTTTAAATCATGATAAAACAAAGAAATACAGGGTGTTTTTTTGGGAGTTTTAGTTAAACGTTTCTGGGAAAGTAAAATAGGTAGGTTTTGAAAATTTGTACTTAGTAGTTACTCTGAAGGCCGAATCGATGTAAAATATTTTCAAAATGGCCGCACTTCCGGAAACACCGGAAGTAGATAGTCACTTCGTTATTTCAATCAATATCAACCCCAATTTTTTATTGGGTTTTTGGATTCTACGTGAAATTTCAGTTCTTTTGATACCCATATGTCGATATCTGCAATTTATGGTTTTTAAGTTATTTTGACTTTAAGAAAAAAAATGGCGGATGTAGATGGTACCTTGATAATTGATTACTTGGAAACGGTTGTAGTCATGGCAACCTATTTTTATCAGTGCATATAGATTGAATACAGCTTTCTTTTAGCGTACTTAAAAAAAAGTTAAGTTGCGTAAGACCGCCCCTATGGAGATCCAAATTTATGAAACTTCAAAGACTAAAGACTCAGTTTTTTTTAATGGAATCACCATTTTCTTAATATTGCATGAGATAAAGAATCGAAGTGGGCATATTTTGAAAATACATGTTCCTATAGCTATCTTTAACAGTTTGTGACTTATTCCCATTTTATTGAATTGACACTATTTTTTTCGAATTTTCTTTTTAGTAGTCGGCCATGATTTTATAACAATTGAATTTTAAATATTTCTAGTGACACTAATCCGTCACCTACTGTTATAGGTTAACATATGTAAGTTTTTCAAAAATCGAAAAATGACTTCGGCCATATAGCCGCCACGGTTGCACTGTAAAAGGCGCATCTGGAACACCAATTTTCACAAACTTTTCGCGGCATTTGCGGCCGTATTTCGCCAATAACTCTTCGAATATAAGCAGGTAAGTAGAGGTAAATAATTTAGATTTTTTGTTTTCTTACAGGTTATCGATTTCGAATTTTAATTTCATCATCAGACCTTGCTCTTCGAATGTTGATTTTCAGGTGTTCAATGGTCTCTGGTTTATTGACGTAGGTAAACAAGTGACTTCACATAACTCCAAAGAAAATAATCCAATGGGGTTAAATCACACGATCTTGGTGGCCAATTAATTGCACCATTACGTGAAATTATTCCTTCATCAAAAGTTTCTTTGAATAAATCAATTGTAGCGCCGCTGTGTGGCATGTGGCTACATCCTATTGGAACCACATGTCGGCAAGATTAATGCCGATAATTGAAGTACGAAAAAAATTCTAATTATGTCCCTATACCGTGCACAATTGACAGTCACATTCTGACCATCATCGTTTTTGAAGACGTATGGACCAATGACTCCGCCAGTCCATAATGCACCAAACAGTAATTTTCTGTTTTTCGAATTAGCCACCCTGAAGAACGATGTACGCCATAAAATAGACGAAGTGCACGTGAAGTATGACGAATGGAACCATTATTTTGATAAAAAATTTCAACAATTTGCAAACGTTGCTTTGGTGTAAGCCGAGGTGTAAGCCTATCCATAATGAAATGTCAAACCAAACTAAACAAAAAGCAACTATCAGATGTTATATGGGTTGTCAAATAAAGCATGATGGCCACTCAAAGTTGTGAACCTCTAAAAAAACAATGTTTATATTTGTTCCTAATGGGTTGTTTGATCCAAAACACTCATTAGATAGGGTAAGACGAGGGGTAAGATAGATAAACTGAGAGTACTATACACTCACCGGCACGGAGTAGTTGAATTTTTTTTAGCAACCTAAAATTTTAAAGTTTTGTGTATTTTTTGCTACTGAATCCAAATCTGTAATTAAAAAAAACAAAACAACATCGTATTTTTCAAATAATACCACAAATGTGACTTTTTTGTGCAAAACACCCTGTATATTATTACACCTTATGGTGGTATATTAAATTCCCTGCAGACGTTCTTAATGGACCACACCAAGAACTTTCTATTATTTTCATTTCGATCTAGTTATCCATGAAAATGATAAACATACATAATAGTATATAAAACAATAACGAGTACTAAGAAATATTATAGTCGGTTGTTAACAAAATAAGAATAATAGGTGAAATTAAGTAATAATATAAAAATAGTTACCATAGATTACTACCTATGTTAAAGAAGATGTTCAAAAACGCTTCCGGTTCCTTCAGCATATAGGGTGGAGCATATTTTCTAGGAAATAAACTTAAACAGCACTATGTAATAAACTTCAAAGTTGACTGTTAGATACTTTACAACAAACAAGGTCATTTTACCATTTTCATGGGTAACTAGATCGAAATGAAAATAATTCAAAAATCTTGGGTTATTTAAAGTATTTTTGCTATGAACTTTTGTAGAGAATTTAGAAAACCGTCATATGATGTAATAATATACAGGGTGTTCCATATAAAATTACATTTTTAATATTATCTAAAAAATGCGATGTTGTTTTGTTTCTGTAATTCCAGATTTGGATTCAGTAGAAAAAAATACAATTTTAGTAATTTAGCCCTCTTTCTAACTCTACAACTAACTGATGGTCCTTGTGAATCGCCATGTATAAGTATAACAAAAATTGTAGCGTAAAAGTTGGAAAGTACTCGATGGGTCGATGGACGACGGATCGCGATTTTATTAGCAAACTCAATTTATGCTCCGGTTTCATTATGTAGAATACCTTTTGTGGTGAAATGTAATCGCATGCAAAAAAATTGTGACACAAAGTTAATGCTTCAAACCCGAGAATTCTACGATAATTCGAGTTATACTTAAACAAGTAATAAGGTTATCGCCCTAAG